CCAATCACAGACGACATCGTCAGAGCAAGCGACTAAATCACTGACGGAGAGATGCTGACAGCTCACTTCATGCTGAAGTTAGTGCTGATGATGTCGTCTAGCAAGATGATGAAGGCTCCACAATTAAACAACCCATCTCAAAGAACACATGTTTTGCGTCGGTAGGCAATTCATGTTATAAAGCAGAATATTCCACAATGGAGACAGTTTGACAGTTTAAGGGATGATTATTTACCGTAACCCCATCTTGAATGTAAGGATATTGAATTGTTGTAAATTTCTTTGTTTATTCAAGTTATTCATTAAATGTCAAATATAGAGCTTGACAGATCAACACAAGTAAACCGCTTTGAGACATTTGTGCAGCCTAAAACACTCATAATCTCCAATTGGTCATTTGTGGTTAATTCTGGAGTATCTTTCAACGTGGATCGACGTCATCTGAAGAATGGACAGTACATAACATCTGCTTCTTTCTAGTTTGGGACTCCTTAGCATTACTCATCTCTAATCCTTTGAAGGATTGTACACAAGACCTTCAGCGGCGAGTATTTTTTACTCATATCAAATTTGGTTGTTCCCACAAGTCATGGCTTGTCATTACAACTTTGATTCTAATTCATTCAAAGGTTAATGAAGATTAATTGATAGTAAAGTGTTTGTCATTATGGATTGAGGTGAACTGAGAAGCCACGATCTTGTCAAAGCATAGTCGATGGACTTATCATATCTGCAACCAGTTATATACGTCCTTGAAAACTGTATGGTTTTATGATGACTACCATTGCATAATGATCTTCACTGTATACGATGCCTTTGGTCATTCAATATAACTAACATGTAGGTTTAAGAAAGATTCTGTTGATTAATCACCATACATCTTTCAGTGTTGAGTCATATCTGCTTACACGATATAGTTCTCACCAAGTATTCAGAAATATGTAACGGTTTCAAGCGCCACTACAATCCTATTTTTCATTCTTGTATTCACCACAACGATGAACACTGAACTCATACATATACATGTGTATTGCGTAGAACTTTGAAGGATGTTGATAGAACAAGTGGCACACCCTTAACCGAGCTGATAAATGTAGTCGTGGATAGACATATGAACTCATGTAGACTGATATTATATTATTAATTGTCTCTAGGGTTCCTAGTGGAACATAGGGCTCCAGTAGCACGTCTCCATTGCACTCTGTTCTCCGCAGTCTTTTATACCTGGCTGACGACTGCCAAAAAGCACTACACCTAGGCCAGTCAGGGCTTCCTGCCGATTGCCTCCAACGAATTAACATAAACTGACAAATGTTATTGATATCAATCTAATGTAAAATTGTTCAGTAGTCTTAAGATATTCTCAATCTAATTAGAATTTATTTAGGAAATCAGAACTGGATTGTGTTTGGACAGTCGAATATTCCTCTTCATTTGTTTTACTCTTATTGGTTCCATTTTAATGATAGTAGAGTTTGCCTTTAACTCATTTTCAGGCGAGTCAATTTACTTTTAAGTATCATAATAATATTAAACGTATACTGTACACTCTTGGCTTTTCTGGTTGAAATAAAAAGGTCATTTAGAGCAATGACTTCACCCTTTTTCTTCTCATCGTTGATGTCATCACAGAAGACTGGCTATTAGATCTAAAGTAGGCTAACGTAATCGACATTTAAGGTGAGGACACTAACAAGATGCAAAGTCTCAGGACATATTGAATAACAGTTCGAGATTGTTTGCGATGCTTTTTTCACTACTCATCTGACACTTGACTCTTCAGGATTGGTCTGTATCAATACCTCCTCTAACAATAGGGTACAAAGCGACTGAGTAAATTCATTACTTCACCTGCTGAGCACCTCTGTGTGATGTTCTACTTTGTTTGTCTGTTTATTGGGCAGTCGAATCGATCCTTATGGGTCAGTGACCTAAGAGATCTCTGCACAGGAAAAAAGAGGCTCGTATAACTTTTTCCAACTTCTCATCTGTGGTACCCGTGAGATATCCAATCGCAAATGAATATTGGAGTATGCTACGGAACAGTTCGCTGTGCTTTACTTTATGATTGCAGAAAACTTCATTAACAAGTGGAAGAAATAAGAAGGCTTCGGGTGGTCAATCACTATTGCGTTTGCAGCATTTGTCATGTGTCACGGTGCCACCGCTTTAGAAATATAGATGTTACTCGTAGAGTCTTTGGTAAAAGAAGTGAGTCAGTCAATGAGATCGCAAAACGTCGCCGACTGTGCTGGTTAGGTGTGTCTAACCATCTAATTCCATGACACAATATAAGCTAAGGTAGGTTTAAACTAAAGAAGGGCGAAAGGTGATCAGACTAAAACGTGGTATCTATCCACAAAGTCACTGTTTGTTGTCATGAGCCATATAGGGAGATATGAACTTCCAGGCTCGAATTCGCGTGACAGCTAAAATGAACCTCAGTGGCATGGATGCATCTGTTCACTATCTTCAATCAATCCTTTATATATTATATCTCCATTATTTTCCAGGTTTCTACCACTTTTGGTTGCATTTCTACGTCTTTTATCTTGGTGCGCTAATTTGAAGTATGGCAACGTAAACTATTATGTAGTACTATGAAGTCATATACTGAGATTAACTAATCGTATATCTTTGGTTGGATATACCAATTCGTGTTTGACCAACTTAAGGTACTATTATCAATTTCGTTGTTTTCACAATAATGTTATAGAAATTTTTTGATGTACTGAAAACTGTTTATAAATTGCCTCTTAAGTGATGTACACTCATACTTTAAAAGGTAGAGTTCCAGTTCACTGATTTAGGCAGTTGACTTTTAACTAGTGGGTTACGGACTCGCGTCCCTCTCAAACCTATTGAGGCTAGTAAGTATTACTAGCCGTAAAGCAGCAAATTTCTTAGTACATGAATGTGGACAAGGTTGTTGATTAAATTTCCATTTTTGATTACTTTAGGAGCGCTTAACTTAAGCCAGAATTCACATGGCGATAAGGTTAGAGAAAATAGGCGGTGGTAAGAGGGAACAGAATCTGCATTATGCACAAAATCTGACTGATAATTTTACCCAACCTTTCGTCTTATTCACAGTTTGTGTCACCACATTTTAATGCATGGACTGGATGGAGTGAAAACATTTCAGTGAGGAAAACTTTCCTCTTTGGTGATATGATTTACTGAAGCTATGCAATCGTTACTAGAAGCAAATAGTAGTCTGTTATTGACAAGTAAGATCAGACCACGTCAACAATATAATGTTCAGAGAACGAAAAGCTTTTCTTTTGAAATAGAAAGCGAATAAGTAACAATAGATAAGGTGGTGAAAGTAACCAAAAACCTCAGGAGTTTGATGAGGAGGGAATGGTCTATAGATATGAGATGAAGTGCTCAGGTACTAACATGACAGATGACGAGAAGTGAAATAATAAAGTCAGGAAATCTCACTGAGGTGATGATTTAGAACCAAGTAAAAGTAGTGAAATCTGAATAGTAGAAGAATAGTCAAGAACCACGGTGAAAAGAGAGACGAAAAGTACTTCTTTTACATAAAGTAATTGAGTTTGAAATGGTCAGTTGGTAGTACATACACTGTACTTCTTTTTCTAGTTGTTCAGTCTAGGTTTGTAGACAATTTTAATAGAGGAACTGCATAGTATTAATTGCTCTGATGATTTTCCCTTTACTCTGCCCATATGGCTAATTCTATGTAATCATTGAACTGGTAGACACGTATTGATGTGGACCAGAGTGGTAGGTTATTTGCCTTTCAATTTCCCCTTGATGAGTCTGGAGACATATGTATTTTGTGAATGGACTTGTCAAGGTTTCTTTAGTTTGTCTTCATTCGAATCATCTATCTTGATCATAAAGAGTAGTGAATAGATTAGACTTATCTTTCTGCTCATTGTGGTTGAGCTTTTATTTTGAGTTGGCTTCAGGTTTTGTCGTAAACTTAATTAAGTAATGACTATCACTGAACTTTTCCGCATTGGTATATTCAACGATTACAGTGTAACTCATGCACATCTGTTGAACATACGGATGCTATTCTTATTTCGAATACTATTCAGTTACCGTGGAGAGATAGAATGACCACAGTAACGAACTCTCATCAATTTTGAAAAGATCAGTCACAGACTTGAGTGACCTATAGGCTTATATATCATTTGATTAAACCATGAATATAATTTGGTGTTAAATGTTAGGCGACAGTCAGTAGAAAGCTTAGAATATAATGCACTGGAGTATCGCACCATTTAATTAAGTCACCACATTATAACTGTTAAAGTCGAGTAGTAATCGACTGGACAGCTACATCGATTTATGTAATGAATATACTTTACTGAAATAATTTTGTACTTTCTCCTTCACGCCAACACAAAATACTGCAAGATGATATGAATATTTGTACAGTATGCAAATCTTTCTCTGACGAAATGTCTCTAGTCATACCAGAGTGGTACGAAATAACCGGTCACTCTTTGTTTCTCCGAAGTTATTGACATGTACTAAATAATCTTGTATACGTTCATACTGTAGGCAATGAGCCATAACTATTGTGTGAGAGCTAATGACTCTACCTTACTCTACCTTATCTGCAGTAGGTTGAAAGTTAACTGCCGAAATGAATGAACCATAGTTGCTTTAAGGCTAGTTTCAAGTGGATCTCAACATGCACGTCTACTTCCATTAATACTGACTTCTTGTTGATAAGCTTATCATTAAAATAAAATTTTGTTCACGTTAATTATCCCCACCCCACAAACAATTAAGCGTATTCATATAAGAAGTCATTTTTCAGGGGATACAAAAGGAATTGTTCTAAAAAATACTAAACAACTGAAGTACTCATAAACATTTCCCTTATGAGTTAATCATACATCCAATGTATATAATAGTGTAGTTCTTTCAAATGATTTTTACTTCAACGCTTAAGAATTGAATCATTCAGGAAAAAAAAACAACTGATGATTGTAATAATAATTAGTAAAATTTACCTTGTTTTATTCCATTCCTGTTTCTTCTACATTGCTTTTTCTTATGTATAAGAGTGTGTGTGGATTTGTGTATAGATGTTTATATTTCCATGTGTATGATTGTTTTTGGATCCTGAAAATAATAAGGAATTAGACAGCCTAGCAAGGAACCAGGTAGCCAGGCAACTGAAGTTGAAGAGGTCAGGGAGTTGGCAGAGATACAGATAGTTGTCTGAGATGTTCTAACTAACTGAGCTATATGTAATTACTTGTTCTTACTAATATATAAGTATATACTTGTATATTATAAAAAGGGCTAGTTGTTTGAAAGACAAAATGTAATAACTGTATATCTTTTGATTGTCAATTCATGTACTACAGTAAACAGCTGGAGAATATGATGTAGTCAATCAATCCTTAGCTAAGACAAGATATACAAACCAGTAGATAAACATAAATAAAAAGAAGGAAGCAGGAAAAATTAATCGACTGTAGGCATCTATCGGCGATTCATAAGGTATATCCAACTTAACTGAGTTAAGTTTCCTGGAAATAACTGATTTCGACTGTTGGAATGCACAGCAATTCAACTTTAAACATAGGCATTCAGTGAATGGTCTAGTTGACTGCCATAATTCCTCCTTTTGTTGAAGATCTTCATGATGGTTGTGATTTAATAAAGTTGATGATTCTTTTCTATCATCTTTAGGATTACTATTATTATTGTTAGCATTATTATTACTATCTAAAAATGTAGTTTTCAAATCATATTTTCGTGCAACTTTGATTTTTAATGCTGATTTCATTGGTTGTTTATCTTCTAGTAATTCTTTGTATAAAGGTTCAATTAATACTCGACATGAATCAGTTTTCACTGATTGAGGAGGACGTCTTCTTCTTCTGACTGTTTTACCTTTCTTCAGTGTTTTCATTGATGTAGAAAAATCAACTACAGTAGAAATCATTTCTTGCCTTTGTTTTACAAGGTTAATTGATTTCATTGTTTCCAGTTTTTGAGGTTTTGTTGATATTTTCACCTAAGGTACAAATGAATTGAACAAAGCATATTCATTCAACTTTCGCAAATATTTTAATTTAGTGTTTTATATTACTCATAAGTAGTTAAACTTAATTTGGTATATTTCACTTCTACATGTCAACAGGAAGCAATACTAATTATATGAGACACTGAGATACGAACTCATACCCATCGCTTCGAACATCAGAGAGCTATTCATTAAGTCAGTGCGGCACGATAGCCACCTGTTGTAGTTTCCCGTTGGTATATAAGGTCGAATTGCTGAACTTCTGTTGGCAAATGAGCTTCTATGCGGATACCTCAATGCCTCAACATAACACCATGAATATTCAGCAGGATCGAGGCATCGGCATAGAAGCCTATCTACCAACAGAAGTCGAGCAGTTCAGCCCTGTATAGTTACGGGAAATTAGAAGTACCACAACAATAATAGCATCTTGTGTTCAATTGTCAATATCTAACAGATGAGGGAAATCCACGTTGATTGCAGAATTTATTGGATGGATTTTAAAGGCGTTCATAGCTTCTATGCAATAAAAAGTCAATGTAGTTGCTTAAACAATCGCTAGAGTAGTCAGCTTAATTTAGTCAATCAAGAGTTTAGGATATCCCAGTCATGAGAAAGTTTTAAGCACTAGATTGAAAGTATCAGACCAAATCACCTCAACCAAGTCAAAATGTTTATCTACCACCCTAACAGATTATGGTTGTTTGTTCACATAACAAACCAACATTACAAAAAGATGCTGCTAATTAGATGATCAAGGTCAATCGCCTTATTTTTTTATAGAATATGACAAAGGTAGGTGAGTCTGTGTGTTAAACGAAAAGTCAAACAACTTCTTCCAAAGCCTAGTGTACCTGCCTCCCAGTGATCGATGTTATTCTCATCGGGACTAGAAGTCGGAAGCGATCGTTTCAAACGCCAGAGCGTTATCCACTACACCACCGAGTCATGATAGCCACTTCTTGTGTGACATGCATAGTCTTAATATAATTGCTTGTAGGGTGAAATGCGCATCCCGGATTCCACTGCTAGACACTATCCATTATTACTATATATAATTAAAACACAAGTAATATCAAGGTATCCTCACAGAAGCCCATACGCCAACAGAGAACGATCAATTCGGTCCAATCAACGACGACACGACACAAGGAATTATACTAACTCCTTTCAAAGTTTGACGAAATTCAAACCTATCCTGTCACAATGTTGCGGTGTCAGAAACAAAACAACTCTCAGATATTCCAGTACCTTCAGTAATGAATAATAAATGATGATAGGATTTATTTACTATTTTCATTTCACTTCATAAAAATGGTGGGCTTTTTGTGTGGCGAGATATACATGTGTAAATTGGTTGCCATCTAACATTAGTGTCACAGACATTTACACCTCATGTGATTGTGTTATTGATGAAGTGAAAAACAGAGGTTTCTTGGATATGTGTGAAACTGAACTTGTCCTCTTTACCTATCGCCAATCAGTCATATGGAATACAATTCATCATATTGTCATACGACCCACTTGACTGGTCTCATTGCAGTCATATGGATAAGATGCTTAGATTAGTTTGCGTAATACTAGTATTGATTAACTGACCAATATGTTCACAAGACTGGATACCAGCTCTAATACTTCTATAGCCATATCTCTTGTTACCATCTCGAATTAAGCCTGTCCTAACTAATATCACGATCGAATAGCTTATTTCTAAGTTATAAATAGAATATTCCTAATGTGTATCAGTTAACACAGAATCCAATGACGACTGTCTCAGTACAATCATAGTTCAACGTTCTATACTATTCAGTGAGAATTCAAACGATACCTTACTAGGTTAGGAAATTCTACCTGCTGTTCTACACATTTCAGGTAACAGGAAAAGGTACGGCACATTAATTATTACCGTTTGGTTATCAATAAGACTTTTCCGAAATAACTGTGAACCTGAAATTATCAGTTTTCCTCTTTAAACATTCACTTAGAAAGAAATCTCAGTCAATTATTAAATTTTACTATTTCAGGGAAGTAAATTTATTTTCTGTGGAGACAGTTATATCAGATGTATGACTAGGCAACTTAACCAACGTATTACTGAACACCTACCTTTGTGTCTGGGTAAAGGACAGATTAAATCTCTAAGAAGTTCTATTTTGTCGCATCTAGTTGATAGTGATCACAGAGTAGATAAGACGAAAGCGTTCAAAATGATTTACCGCATACCACCGAACCTTCCCGATGGGGTTCGAATCCGCCTTTCACATATATCTGAGGCTATAGGAATTCAAATAAACAATCTAAAGCTCTGTATCCGTTTTTATCCCTGCCTTGGCCAGAGAGAACGTAATAAATAACCTTACTTCTTTGACCTACTTTGTCTGTCTATCTGTCTGAACACCTTTTTACATTGTCATATCATTATAAACATTATAATCCGTATTCCTTGTTGTTGTTGTTGTCCCACGAATTATCTTGATTAGTGAAAACTAAACAATTTTATTAGAAACAATATTGTTTGCTTACATACTTCGTTAGAAAATCAGAATGTATAATTACTCCTCTCAGCTGGTATCATGAAGATAAGAATACTAGAACCGGATAGTTTTTGTTAGAATACAATCCTAGTTCGAAAATTATCAATCTTTTAGAAATACTAGTTGAATGTTTCTTTACACTTGTGCATATATCATTAACACTATGCATCAACAAACTTTACAAAGTATAATTCAACATTTTCAATGCATAATGATTACAAACGGTTACAATTGAATCATTGGTTTAGAATTTCTTGATAGAGACAAATTGCTTTTCAATTTCTTCAACCCTATTTTCTTGGATGAAGAGATTATGTATTTCAGAAAATCTATGGCTGAAAGTGAGTGAGTATGCAACAACATTTGTGGAGAAAATAGCGTGAGACCTAAACTCGGGAGAGAGGAACTTATTACTATGTTGAAGAAGATTTTTTATGAAGTTGAACTTTACAGAGGATTCCACTGCTGACACCCTGAAAAGGAGGACTTTCAACTCACTTTCTGGATCACTAATTATATCATCCAGATACTTACTGTTTTCCAGAAATTTAAACGAAAAGTCTCCTCATCTGGCTGTTGAGCTAGATATATTGGTTGTTTGATGCACGTTCTCTTCAAACTCTTTCGAGAACATTATTCTCTGTGTCTGTAAAAAGGTGCCATTAAAAGTGTGATGATCAAACATATCACCAGTATTGGCCAAAGCTTCTCAATAGATTCGTCATTCAATGTAATTTGAAAGGTGAAAACAAACATACCAAGAATGGTACGCCCCTGACTACTTTTCATTACATACGCCAATTATTCAGCCTTTGTTTTTGCTTTAGGGGGTTGAAAATTCAGTTTATATCAGTCACCTTAGTCTCTATGCTATCTTAAGGTTGATTTCCATGTTTCACAATACTTTATATTTTCTGACATCATTTTCAAAACTATTATAGTTTTAGATATAGGTGTTATTTGTCTAAATCACAGCGCGTTTGAAATGAAACAGGAGGGAGAAGAAGCTCGTGCCAAACTTCCGTGCGAAACATTGGGAGTAGTTCATTTTAAACACCCTGTAACCTACACAACTACAAACTATATCTTATTTTGACCATTTACTCACTGGCCAATGTTTGCGATACTGTTTGGTCAAATCTTGATCATAGTTCATATATATTATAGCTTTCACTGAACTCTATCCTCATTCCTGTATGTAACAAAAACCAATTGAATATCGTAGTATGAGGCATACAAATTCTACTTTTACAGCTTTAGAGAGTGGAATTGCGGAAAAAGATATCTTTGATACACTCCTGAATTAATTTAATAGAGCTGTGGATCAGTGCATTTAGGGAGACAACTATCGACCATTGGGACTTGGGTTCGAACCCCGCTCCACGTACTGAAGTTTGGGTAACCGGATAGTATTACTAACTCTCACACAACAGTTACAACGACAACTACCTAGTGCACGGATGTCCTCAGGTAGTTAGGTGCGCCTCATTCGATTCGATTTCTGAAATATCATTCTTCAGACTGCGATTTCAGTTAAATTTGTAGTACAAAGCGCTTCAAAATGTACTTTTCCACTTGTGATATTCTCCTTTTCTGAAATTATTTCAGTGTATTCAGTTCCGTATGATAGATCATTTTGTAGTAAGTTATGTTGTAAGTATCGTTATCATTCTAATTAGACAGTCACCTTTAAATCCATTGCGTTATTTTTATTATAACTAGTAACCTATTTATTGACATACTTGTTATTCTCCGTTGTTTTGTTGGATAGAATTACTCGACGTCTATTGGCATGTGAGCTCCTATGCAGATGCCTCAACATTGCCTAGATGTTAGTTATTATAATTTGGTTGACTGTGGATAGCAGAAGGATCCAGGACGCGTGTTTCGTCCTATTCGCTACTCGTTAGCTGGATGTTGATGTTGTCCCCACTGAGACTCGAACCTCATACCCATCGCTTCAAATGCCGAGGCGTTATCCACTACGTCGCAGAGGAACGAGAGCCAATCCTTGTAAAACGGATGATGGTTATTACTATTTTTTGACATAATTATTATTCTCCGTTTTGTTGGATCGAATTGTTCGACCTCTAGCCACAACCATAACTAGTAACCTACTTAGAAAGCTTATAAGTAGTCATAAGCATTTCAATGGTTACAACAATGAATTTTGATCAAGTTCACATTAACGTTATCAAGACTAAAAAAGACAACTAGAACACTACCTGTGTAGGTTTTCTTCGCGGTGCTTCAGGACACTTTAACCGAGAACATGTTGGGCACGTACAGCATACTGGTTGGTAGGAATCACAGATTTTACAGCGTGCCTTCGCTGATTTACTGATATGTGTTGACCTGTTTGTTCTCACTGGTTTTTTAAGCTTCACTGAGAATTCTGGATCCGATTCAGTACCTCTTGTAACTTTCAAGTTTGACTTTTTGATAGCACCATCCATAGGCTGGGGTTGATGTGACTGGGATCTTTGGCTGTTTAGTTTTAAAACAGGTTTATGGTGAGCATTTTTTGTATAACAACAACAACATCGAACTTGTCCAGTATATGTTGTCAAGAGAACTCGAACCAGCTCCCTTACTTCTGGCTCCCATTCATGACCTTCACTTTTAGGCGCCATCATGTAAGCATAGGCGAATTCTGCTAGCGCTGCAACCACGAATAGTAGACATACTGTTAGCCAGACATCAATTGCTTTTAGATAAGTCACTTTGGGCAACTGTGAACTGACACTGCTGCTCTGTTAACAGAATAGTAAACAAATGATGATAAAATAAAAACTCTCCAGTGCGAAAAAAATGATATGAAAAAAACTTCAAAAATCATAGCTGTCTGATCAAACATTTCGTTCATGATATTCGTGTGACACCAAAGTAAGCTTCGGTGGAGTAAATTACTGATAAAGAATCTCAAAACAGGGTACAAATAACCTTCAAAGTCTTCTTAGCATTCATTCATAAGTCCTACACAAGGCACTAATTCATGGCAAGCACACCTTGTAAATGACGTTTTCTCCGGATAAAAGTGAACAATTTGGCTGCGATCATTCCCCAACTTAGTGACATTACTTGATGAAACACTGGAAACTTAGAAGCACTGGAAAGTTTTTCATCCTAGCATGGGACTCCTCAGCTGTGGGCATTCATGACCCCATAGGGGACCAAACCCAGGCTCGGCAGGTCCCACAGCCATCAAGTTACAGCTCACCCACTAGGTCGACATCAAATGGCCTACATTTTTCACTTTTGTCAGTTCACAATGCTGCGCGACCTCCATTCAATGCCGTCTTTGAATGTGTCCTCATGTCTGAATTGGTTGACCTTACAGGATACGACTTCTCACTAGGACTTCGGGATGTCTCATCTTGAAGCAAGTCACTAAGAGTAATTCAATTCGGAGGTTTGTGGGCATTTACCTATTACTTTCACGTTGATATTCAGTTTTGCTAAATAGACACTCTTTTATTTATTCTTATTCAAACCTATTCAACATATTATTTTGGGAGGTGTATGACAACAACTAAGATGCCACATGCCAAGTGGTCCGCAATGAAAGCTTATTGAAACGTTTGAAGTGAAGACAGGAGTAAAACAAGGCTGTCTGCTGTCACCCATCATCTTCCTCATTGTGGTGGACGGGATCATGCAACAAACCATGAGGAGCGAGAAGAGGGGGATAAGCTGGTTAGACCAGGGAAAAGATCCTAGAAGATTTGGATTTCGCCGATGATGACTTGTGTCTGATGTCACACAAACTTGAGGATCTACAGGCGAAAACTAACAAATTGATAGAAGAGGTGAGGCAGCGAAGACGGGACTTCAAATGAATATAGAGAAGATAGAGGTGATGAAGATACCCAACCACCAACAACAACAAACTCCAATCACCATCAACGGGAGAAACCTAAAGCAAGTAGCCTCTTTCACCTACCTGGCTAGGTAGCATCGTTTTGACTACAGGCGAAGTCACAGGCGAGGACATCAAAACGACGATCGGAAAGACAGCAAGACAGGCCTTCATTAATCTGAAATCAGTGTGGAGATTTACTGTACTCAGCATAAAACGTAACACTATCCAGATTTCCAACACCAATGTCAAGTCAGTGCTGGTATATGGTTCAGACACTTGGCGCGTCACGTAAAGCATTTCTAACAAACTACAGACATTCATCAAAGCTGCCATCTACGCTCACTCGATACTGACACTGAAGATGAGATGGGAAGGCCAGAATAATAAGAATAAGCAACAAGGAACTCTGGCTGGCTGGTATGAACCAACCAACAACCTAACACCCAACAAATATGCAGAGGAAGAAAGTGGATTGGATTGTATATACACTGAGAAGACCATTCGGGGACATCACGCGTCAGGCCAGGCACTAGAATGGAACCAAGATGGGAAACAGCGAGTTGGGCGTCCGAGGCGAGGTTGACATGGAGGAGATGGTGTGAGGAAGAAATGAGAGCTTCTGGGCAGTCGTGGAGCCAGGTTATACGAAAACACTGCCGAGAAGAGAGTGCAACGGAGGCGTGTTACTGAAGCCTTATGTTCCACTGGGAACCCAAGAGAAAAATAAATGATAATAATAATGACAACAACTGAATGTCAGTGATCGTTGATCGAGATTTTATAAATCATGCCGTCTCACTTTAGCACACGTTTTGTTACTGGTGACGTTAGAAGGAAGAGAAGGGAAAACATAGATGCGATTAGTGCAGCAAATTTATCAGAAATGTTAACTAGAATTCACTTTATTAATTCAGAGGATAATAGTGTGTATGTGTGTGTGTACACTTGATGTTGAACCGCATATAGAATGACCTAGACTTGGTCAAACAATTGGATTTATATTGTCTTATTTAAGATCGCTCTATTGAGGGAAGCGTTACAGTTAATAAGATGAGGATATTTCCTTCAGGATACAATACTCTTATCGAATAAGGGATTTAGCATTAGCCACAAAGAAAACATCAACAATGTGATACTTTTTTCTCAACTATTGTTTTCATAAACATGCTTCTCCTAATTATAAAATGCAAAGAGTATGATTTTTTAACTTCTGCAAAACCTAATAATGTTTTGTGTACCTTTGTTTTGTTTTGAATGTCATATATTTGAGTAGAATGGGAACTTTGAAATCTGTTAATCATAGAAGTAGGAGATATGAAGTGATTACAGGGATCTGACCATAGGTGGTTTCGTACCATTGCTTGGATTTAGTGGAGTCAACATTTGAGCAGTGTTGAGGTCAGGTGAAGGGTACAAGGCAAGTAGATTGTGATGAGGTTATGAACCTTCATCGACTAACATAGCTGGGATATGTACTGCGCATGCTGAGTCACTGCCTACCTTGACGTTCCATCCAAGGTGGAAGTTGGGTTAGGTTGTAAGAGGGTTCAAGGTAGCCAAATCAAGATCTGGTACCAGTCAAGAAATTCTGTTACTGTTGGTATGGTGTGTCTGCAAAGATGCAGATCACCTCTTTGGGGTCGACGAGACGAAAGGAACCAGTGGTTGAGGACTCTTATTGGAATGGCTGAACATTGGCCACTGCAGTGTAGATTTATTCACTCCTTGACATCTTCTAAAGCTTGAATATTCGCATTAACCTTCATCTTCAAATTGTTTATTCTTTCACACAGCTTTGTCTAGTTTAGTTGAATCACTCTCTCGATCTATTCATTTTTTGCGTACTACTGCGAAGTGTGGCGACCTGAAGGGATGCATTTGTATGCGAGCTTTTATGTTGATTTTGCCAATCTGTCTGTCAGTCATCAACAGTATTTCACGGTGATTATCAGCAAGAAACTTCAGGACAAAAAACGTTGGTGTATGGTACAGAAATATGACAAAATAATGGAAGTATGTCCTACTAATAAGCAAAACTATGAACCACTGGATTTCGATACACTGGCTAAACGTTAGAGTGATCGCAGCGTAAACTGAAGGCTCTCAGTTAGATCCCCGGTGTGCACTACTGAGGAGTCCCATACCAGGACGAAATAGCTACCCGGTGCTCCCACATTCCCTCCCAGTGGTTCTTTAGCTGAGTTCAATGTTTGGTGAAAATTAACTTGAAACAAAGAAGTTGTTAGAATATAGTTAAAATGAAATATGATGCAGTATAGGATCATAACTGTATTATACATTATGATAGATGTTTACCATGTTTAGTATTGGTTACTATTGTTCAAAATCAGGGATCAACCAACATAATATGATTCCGATAAGATATCAGGATTGTTCTTTTATCTAAGTACAAAGGTTAGAAGATCTAAACTCAAGTAAACCTTTGTGTAATGTGTGTGTGATGGCTGGTGAAATCGAAACTATCATCATGTGCTCACAACACCTGACATATGACCATTCATACACATCACTGAATTGCTATTCCTAGACTACTGAAAAACACAGAAGATAAGATTAGAAAGGAAACACTTATTACTCCTGAGGAATGGTGCAAACTAGCATTAACTGCCAAGTTTAAAATAGAAAAATTGTCTTCTCATACACTGGTTAATAATGAACTCAACATAAATATCATAGATGCACAACCATCTAGACTTAAAGTCTAGTGGGAACAAATTCTTTTTCGGCGATATCATCCTCTTCAGCTGTACTATCACACTTAAATACAGTTAGTGTGCATAAAAATGTCAATATTTGTTAATTATTAATCGTTAGTAGTCTGTAACTATGCAAATGACTTGTAAATGGAAACTACGTAATGTGTATTGATTGGTCACGAGAGTGGAACCAATTTCATGTTGTCTAGTCCTGAGTGCAGACCGAATTCTGTCGATCATATTTGCAATGTGGCAACCAAGCTAGGAAGCTCAGCATTGCGGTGAACATTAGTAGATGTTAGTTGGTTGGAGGCGATCGACAGGAAGCCCTGACTGACCTAGGTGTAGTGCTTTTTGGCAGTCGTCAGCAAGGCATATCTACAACCTTGACGAAACGTATGTCCCGCCTGAAGTTCGAATCCGTGTCACCCAGTATTGTTATCAGCGACTTTACCATATTGCAAATATGGTAGGTAGAATTCAGTCTACACTCAGGACTAGACAATATGAAATTGGCTGCACTCCTGTGACCAATCAATACATGTAAGCCAGTCTTACAGGAGGTGAGTCGTGACTCAGTAGCTGAGTGGTAGAGTCACTGACTAAAACACTGGGTGACGCGGTTTCGAACCTCAGGTGGGACATCAGTTCCTTCAGGGTGCCTCCTACCAATTGTCTCTAACCAACTAACACCTAGAGACTACGTAGTAAATCTGTTAGTACTTAACAATGTGAGTAAATGTGAATTCGTAGCAAATTGAGTAGACATTTGTCAGTGAATAAAGGGAATGACAAATTTACAACCGAGCTAAACAAAAATAGACTATGTATTAATCACATGAAAATTGAAATATCAGAATTAAATGCGACTGTATAACTGCAGAGGATGATATTGCGGAAAATAAATTTGTTCTTTGAAGTTTTTATTCTTCAAGAATGTTTAAACCAGTTGAATAAGGTTAGTAATGAACTAGAGGTTTTTAAGATCACTACAACCTATTAAGAAGAAGCACCATAGTGAATGGGAAAGGACTCTAAAACTTATTACCATAGATCAAATGACCATTCTGGAAATACTTAGCACAAACTGCAAGTCGTTGCTGAAGAAAGTTGATTACATTCAGTCACTCCTATCCACAAACGTTTATTGGAATATGGGCATAATAATACTGCAGGAAACATGGCTACATAACTTGTATGATGATGATTTAGTTTGCTTAAATGATTTCTGATTATTTCTACAAGACTGAAGCTTTTCTAAGAAGACATTTGGTAGGGGTTTAACAACACTTATCAATATAAACTAGTCCACCTCCAACTATGTATGTTTTAGCTTCTCTAACGAAAACATTGAGTGCATTACCATCAAATATCATCTTAAACATTTGAGTAAATACAAACACATGTACATGAAAAACATTTATGTCACACTTGACTTGTATTTCTCATATTTGCCAACTTTGGTTGGTGAATTCCTTGAAGTTGCCGCTCCGATTCTTGGTAAATCCTTATCTATAGTCTGTGGAAATTTCAATTCATGTAATTTCAGTCTCCTTATATCAGTGGGTCATGAAAATATGTTTAGTGTTTCTACTGGTCTTGACAACACCCTAGACTTCGTATTTACAAATGACTGTAGCATATATGAAGCCCATAAACGAGCTCCACTGCTGATTTCTGAGCACTCTATTGTACGTGTTTTGCCTAAAGTGTATGGCAAGTTAAGTACGATGACTTTTGGACACCTTTCCAATAAAGTCCAGGACAAATGCTATTCATAGGATAATATACTATGTTTGAGAAGCATGCTTAAAGAAACAGACTGGGATACATTTACTGATAAAGTTTCACACAATCCTATCACTAATATTACAAGCTATGTCAGATTCTGTCTCGACTTATAATGCCCTGCTGAAACAATCCATTTGAGATTCAACAGACCTTCTTCTTTATTTCTCAAGAGGCATTAGAGAGAAATGGAAAGGTTATATAAGGTGAAAGATCACCATGGTGTTAAAAGACGTAACTGCCTAATTCAGTGTGAGATATAAAGTCTAAATGCCATATGTAACCAGAAGTTTCTATCGTGTAAAAACTCTTTCAATATATGGAAATTATTTAACGAGCTTACTGGTAGAAAACAGGTTCCAAAAGAAGCTTACTCAGATATCATCACGTTAAATAGATCATTTATATGCTGGCAAGCTGATTTCATCCTTCCTAATGTCCATAGTCAAATGGATAGCTGGTTTGCTGGTTCGAATACAAATGACGTGTTGAAATGGCTTGAATCCATTTCAAAGCCTAGATCCTTATGGTATTTCTAGTATTATGTTTAGAAAATGTGCAGATATTTTATTTCATCCCCTTACAGATATCATCAATGCCTCGTTTTCTGAAAATACAATACCAGCTGGTTAGAAGGAGATCAAAGTTGTATGTATGCCTAAGCCATCTTCTGGATCAGACGTTCAATTTCCACCCATCGCTATAACTTCCCCTGTTTTGAAGACAATGGAGAAATTACTTCTCCTTCTGCTTGGGCCTTCATTGGTTATTTTCAGAGGTCCAAAGCAATTTGCTTACAAAAACAGGAGAAGTACTTTAGATGCTGCCACTGTGTTGCACCATAATATTGTTTCCGGTCTAGACAAAAGTGTTAAGTATCTTTGTTGTGCCTTCTTGGTTAGTCATCAACCGTTAACTCTGTTCCTGGAGCACTCTCGTCAAATAATTTTGCGATAGCTCGTACTGAGACATGGGCTAAAAAAATGTCTGTATACTTATTCCTCTGAAAGGAAACAGTATAAAGAGATGCCCTCCACTTCATCGCTTACTGAAGCTGGTGCGTCTGAAGGTGCAGTACTTTTTCTGTTCTCGGTCTTTTTGCATGATTTACCTTATTCCGTTGAAACTAATTTTATCAAGTGTGTTGATGACCTGACAGTTTCTATTCCAGCTTTCAATTAAATGAATTCTTGTCTGTAATTGACCAATGGTCTCCCTCAAATGGTCTCAAGTTAAACCTTTCTAAATGTCAGATTGTTAATTTTAGCCTCAGGCATAAACAAAACTTGTGTAAGTTGCTTGAATCCCATGATCCTTGTGATATTGGTAGTATTTCTGCAGAAAGTCAATCGAGTGTTGTTCATCTTGGATTAAGACATACTTCTCATCTGTGTTGACCCTCTCATATACTGTTTGTTGACTTGTAAAAACAACTTTTCTTTTACTTATTACATAAAGAAACTGAGGCTCTCTGGTATAACTCAACTTCTACTTTTACAATTTATTAATTCCTGAATTTTACCTATTCTTCTCCATTGTTCCCCATTGTTCTGTCCTGGTCTACTATACTAAAAAGGACTGTGTGATAACATTGCATAGGGATTTGAAAGTCGTCAGTAGAGTGAGTGCTGTGCCTCTGATAGACATTTAAATTCAAGCAGGCAACTAGCTACAGTAATTTTAATTGACACTGAGCATCCACTTCACTCACAGCTGTCTCCTTGTATCTCCTCAGGGAGAGAGGACAAGAAGAAACTACATCAGACTGTAGGCTCGTACAGCTAAGTACAAGAATTCGACTGTACCTTGCTAAAATGTATATTATGTGGGGAGAAAGAACTCACATATCAACTTTATAATAGTTAACAATCTCATTTCAATCATCTAATTAACAATGTGACATGTTCTCGTTATTATTATTCTTTACATTACTTGACTTTGTATAATAAGACAATATGAAATGTTGTAATGGAGTATAAACATGAATATATTTTGGTATTGTTGCAATATATCATGTTGAGAATTCCAAACTGTACCACAGATTGTTAGGAATAAAGTGAATTATTATTATTACTATTATTGTTAGTGTTATTATGTTTGATCAAGGTTAAGGACAAATATTTCGAACTTGGAAACAATTAACAAATGAACTGTCTTTCTTTCCGTCCTAAGATACAGATGACGTGTTCTTCTTTTTGTTAGCTGGTATAATGTTCATAGAATGGAGATCAGCTTGGGATACACTTTATTACTACAATGTATACAAGAGTATTTGTATAGTTTTGTGAACTTTCACTGATGCACATCGTTTTATATACCCCTCCACAGACTTGTGAAGGTAACCTAAGTTTTCAAATGCATGGTTAAACAGCCATGAATAATCTCAAAATAACTGCTATCATAAACCAAAAGTAGATGAGAAACTTTTTAAAAGGCTTATATCACCCTATTTAAGTACTCTACAATAGTTTATACTCGATATAACGAAAGATTGAGACTACGCTGGAGTGTGGAAAAGAACCTAGAAGACTTGGATTTCGCTGATGACTTGTGCTTCATGTCACATAAACTTGAAGATCTACAGGCGAAAACTAACAAGTTTACAGAAGAGGTAGCAAAGACGGGACTTCAAGTGAACATAGAGAAGACAGAGGTGATGAAGATACCCACAACAACAACAACAACAACAACAACAACAAACTCCAATCACCATCAACGGGAGAAACTTAAAGGAAGTAACCTCCTTCACCTATCTAGGAAGCACTGTTTCAACTACAGGCGACACAGGCACAGACGAGGATGTCAAAGTCAGAATCGGAAAAGCAAGACAGGCCTTTCTTCATTAGCCTGAAATCAGTGTGGAGATCTTCTGCACTCCACTCAGCATGTGGAACAAGATACGGATTTTCAACACCAAAGTCAGTCAAGTCAGTGCTTCTGTATGACTTAGAGACTTGGCGCGTCACGAAAGGCATTTCCAATAAACTACAGACATTCATCAACAACTGCCTACGCTGGCTGGCTCGTTACTGAAGATCAGATGGCATAGCTAGAAAGAATAAACAACAAGGAGCTCTGGGAACGAACCAACCAAGAAGCTATCGCTGAACAAATATACAGAAGAGTGTGGAAGTGGAGATGGATTGAACGGGGCATACACTGAGAAGCCGACTGGGGACATCACGCGTCAGGCCAGTGCAGGCACTCGAGTGGAATCCCCATGGGAAGTGACGAGTTGGGCGTCCGAGGTGAGGCTGACATGGAGGAGATCGTGTGAGGAGGAAATGAGAGCTTCTGGGCTGTCGTGGAACCAGGTCCAAAAGATCTCAGAGAACAGAGTCACTGGAGACGTGCTAGTGAAGCCCTATGTTCCACTAGGAACCCAAGGGACTAATAATAATAATAATTAGTTTAACTTAGGTAATATTCTTTATGCCCAACAGTATCCATATCTGTCACATGCACGCACTGGTTTTGTCGACTGACCTAGCCAACTTCGTAGATTCAGCGATTTGATTAAAACATTGATTAGCTTCATGAAAGTAATTTCAATGCTCCGCCTGGATTTGTATAAATTTTGAATGTACACAAATATTTCCAATGGGTAAAGTATTTCAAGTTTGAAGTTTTGATTACAATATGAGGTTAAAATCAGTTAAAAGTTATCGAAAGCATGACATAACATGCAATCAAGTGAATGATAATAAACTATGCTATGAAGGATTTTATAGTAGGTGTAATAGACAGAAACACAAATCCCAGCGATCCCTCTATTCAAGGTAATAAAAAATGAAGATTAAGTCTCTAAGATATGGTATTTTGCCACTTTTTCATCATCCAAGAGTGTAAACTCCCTTTAGAGTTGTATTCCATCGACGGTACTTATGATGGTAGCATCTGTAGAAAACAGTACAATCCTACATAAATGTTCTCTTCTGAGATATGTATGTTACCATGTTTGAAAGAGTAATAACGTGAAATGTAAGACTCCAAGTCAAACAGATTTCACTTCAGCAAGTGAATACAAATCCAACAATGCCTATTTCTAAATCAAAATATGCTTGAAGCTAATCAGTAATAGAACCATATTTTTGCCATTCATTATCACTTCTCACTTTTGAAATGACTAATTTGTTCCAAGAAGATGTTGATGAAGTCGATAGATGTTCGGTTGAGGGAAGAGTTGAGGAAAACGCTGTGTAACTCACTATTATCCTAAGTGTTACATGGTTGTATGAGAGATTCTTTAGTTAATCAGACACAAAGTCTATCATTGAACTATAAACTCATCATATAAAGTCAGTTTATTTATGCATATTAAATTTATGAAATCAGCATTACCCCTGTTTTCTTCTGATTAAAAACTTACTTCCGTTAGGAGGCCAAGTAGTGTCAACAGTCCCAGTGTTACTCTAGCTGGTACGGCTTTGATATCAATCCAGAATCCTAACCATGATACCATAACAATTAGTATTTCTGGAATATATGTTGTAACAATATATGAGCCAATTAGTCGTCTCAATGGTATTACCAATAGTAAACAGCTATACGTTCCTGTGTTTGTTGTTCCATTTTTTGTACAGTCCTAGATATGGATAAAAAAAGCAAGAACAAACAATATAAAGATGATTATGAACATCTATTATATCTGTCTATCTATGGAAAATGGATACTTAGGTAACCAATCAAGTTTCTCACTGAACTTCATGCCATATTAGTGTATCAGGCGACGAAAGAGATATCTGGTTTCTGGCATCAGCAAATGCTGAATATCCAACCTCATTCACAGATAGCAGTGTAGGAATGATTCAAGTTTATAAACAGTTGAAGAAGTCACTTCTCTCCAGAAATACATCATTGAAATCTTATTATGTTATTGTTATAGGTAACATCAATCTACTGTGACTATAAATTCCTCAGTAAAAAACGTCAACAGATTTATATTCATCTTGGTAACTAACAGTGGAATGTAGGACGTAAGTTATATCCTATTTGAGACTGGTAAACTGAATATACCTACACTCCAGAAAGTAATGTTGTTCCTAGTGAAAATCAAACCCGAAGCGACGTCCACTAGGGTACGAGGTCCGAGTCTGAGTGGGAACAACACCACCCATTATGGTATAGGTCTACCCAGATGACAAGTCTCAAATAAGATCAAACGCACACACTAAATTCCACTGCTAATCACCAAGATGAATACAAAGTCACGAATATCCAAAAAATATAGTGACATTCGTACAGGAGCTCATATACTGACAGAGGTCAAGCAAGTCAACCCTGTATACAAACGGGAAAGTCAACAGATTTAGCCTGACTATTCCCTAGAATTACAGCCAAAGCACAGAATTGATAATAATCTTAAGTAAATACAATTAATACTTTGACATTTGGAAGTCAATGTTCATTATGATTTTGATCATCATTGTCATCAGTAATATTCCTATTTTTACTGTTAATGTTGATATTTGTGATGAGGAAAATACTGTTTTGTGAACGCTGACTTCATAACAGGGAGTACATGAAGTGAATCAGTGTTTTCAATAGGAACTGATATCGATGTGAGTAGTTTTCTGTTAACCAATATATTACTGAGTACCTACCTACCTTCCCAGATGGAAAAGCAACAAGTCAAATCTGTAAAAAGCTGTTTTGTGTAGCATCCATTTGAGAGTGTTCAAAGAGTGGACAGAAAGCGATTAAACTGATTCATACTATTATATCATAATTTTTCCTTTAAATTCCGAGTAGAACACAGGGCTTCAAGAACACATCGCCATCTCACTCTCTTCTCACCAGTCTTTTCAACCGGACTACAACACTCCCCACAACCTCCTATTTCTTCCTCATACCATCTCCTCCATATCACCCTAAACCTGGACATCCAACTCATCGCTTCCCACTTCACTCCCACCCGAGGACCTGGAATGACACGTGATGTCCACAAAACCCTATTCTCAGTGTATATCCAATTCAATCAAATCCATCTCCATTTCCCTCTTCTGCATACTTGTTAGGCAATAGCTTCTTGGTCAGTTGGTTCGTTGTCAGCCAGCCAGTCAGAGTTCCTCATTGCATATTCTTACTAGTATTCTGGCCATACATCTCATCCACCTTCAGTATCGAGTGAGTGTAGGTGGCAGTTGTTGGTGTGATGTGTACATCTGTAGATTGTTGGAAATGCTTGTGATAACGCGCCGCCAAGTCTCTCAACCATCACATAGAAGCACTGACTGACTGACTGACTGACTGACTCAGTGTTGAAGATGTGTATGTTGTTCACGCTTTATGGAGAGTGCAGTGTAGTGCAGTGCAGTGCAGTGTAGTAGATCTCCACACCGATTATTTGAGTATAGTGAAGGAAGGCATGTCTTGTTTACTTTTCCGATCCTGTCTGGTTTTGACATCCTGATGTGTGCCTGTGCCGCTGCCTGTAGTTGGAACGATGCTGCCAAAGTAGGTAGGTAGGTAGGTGTGTGATGGTAGGTGGGTAGATAGGCAAGTAGGTGAAAGGGACAACTTCCTTTTTTTAGATTTCTCCCGTAGATGGTGTTGTTTGGATATCTTCATCACCTCTGTTATCTCTACGTTCACCTGAAGCAAGTCTCGTCTTCTTCACCCTGTCCTGCCTCTCCTCCAAACTCGTCAGTTCTCGCCTATAGATCTTCGAGTTTGTGCAACATTAGACACAAATCATCATCATCACCATCATCATCATCATGGGCGAAATCCAAATCTTCTTCTGGGGTCTTTTCATAGCATCGGTCAAACAGTGTATGTTCATCTTCTCACAGCTCCTCACAATTGTCTATTGCATGATCTGGTCTAGTCGAGTCGACCACAATGAGGAAGATGATTGATGATAGTAGGCGGTAACTTTGTCTTACTGCTGTCTTCAAAACTGATTTGTAGTATATCACCAAACCTTTCCCATGGAGTTGGAGTCCACGTCCACCCCATAACTGAGGCTGTGAAAATTCAAACGAACAATCGGAGTCTTTATATTCACTAGGAATATGTGCGGCCTTTTTAGCCTCGCCTTGGCCAAGAAAGCCCTAATAAATGACTCTGCCTACAAGTTTTTAGAATGATCTTTTGTTCCTCTTTATTTTTATTTATCATCTCATTTCACACCATTATCGTATTCACTCACATTCAGGCTTTGTTTATCCACTGACTTCATCTGTACTATCCTTGCCCAAACTGTTAACTACTGTGTGTGTTTAAATGCCTGTTTACATCGCCATTCCATTCTCAATATTTCTATAATCCCTTACACTAAACCTCTTTTTACTATACTAAAGTGCATAATCCATAGCCTTACTATCAATGACTCCGAATCACGTTGATTGGCTCATATTTCATGTAGGTATTGTAAGCCATATTTGTTAGACAGAATCAAGCCTGACGAGATCTAATTGAGAACAATACTTAGGTTGGAGCCCATATACCAATAGGCTTCAAACAATTTTTATCCAACAAAAACAATGGAGAATAACAAGCATGTCAATAAATAATGAAAACGATACTGTTGACTAATATATCTTGTTATTATTTTTACAATATCAATTGTCAAAATGTTATTTAGGTGTATCTCTCTTGTTTTTGTCAGTTTCCAGTTTTGCTTCATAAAAAGGCTACCTTTTAGATCATTCGCTTCTTCATTGTCTACATGTCACTGTGCCATTCTCTGTACATAGGCTAAACTAAGTTTATATCATGGTTACATGTATGTAGAGGTATTTGATTCAAATAATTTTATTAAGTATTTTTACTACTATCCAGTAGTATAAAATCTGAAGTTAAATTTTGGGGGAGGGAAGTTTATAGACAATTCTGTTATATGTATGGGAAACCACCAACTTAATATTGATTGTTGTACTCAACCAAATTGATCTGTCTCTTATGATATATATGATAAGGTAAACATAAATATATCTACTAGCTTTCAGGTGAAAAGTGCTTTTAATTTTTGTGAACTGAAGAGTTATGATACATTCCGGTTTGTAAGCAACAACGTATGTCATTTGAAATGGATCATTTTCAGAATCGAAGTTATCAATGAAGTATTTGTCCCTAAACATGCAGAATTCCCTGCGTTAGAATATAATTCAAGTACATGTACTGAATGAGGTTTATCGATACTTGTGTGGCTATCAACATAGGGAACAGTGCAAACATTTTAACCTACTGCCGTATAAATGAAAGTTAATTTGAATAAAGATTTCCCGATCGAGCTAAGATGTTTTCTGCTTTTCCCTGTGAGTTACAAGTAACATAACATCAAAACAAAATCGTTAAGTTGAGTTATTAGATGGAACAGTATTGTTTACTGGATTACATCTCGGATACAATTTATTCTCCATAGTCATAACAAGATAACTATACAGCTTTGATACAGTTTATATAGTTCTAATCTCCTCTTTTTCGTCATGACAAGGGTAGTAGAATTTTCCATGTATCCGGAATAGGTGCAGAATCATTTCTGTTGCATTTATTATGTGTTTGTTGATTCGACAAACAAAGATTCAGTTATCAATCTGTCCCTCCACCCTGCTATGTTACTTTCATGGATTTTCACCATGTCCCATCCTATCCTGTAGTTGTGTGTAGTTGCATGCACAACTATAGCCGAGTTCTTTTCCAAATTCCTTATCTTACTACAATCTAACAGTTTTGATCTGGTTAGGTTTTTGTGCTTGGAAAGCCTAAGTGAACCTGTATTTGACATCAATCATTGCAAGTGATTTGGTTAACTAAATGCTTCTGTTTAGTTGGAGCAATAGGATCTTTTAACCTACAAAGCCTATTTCTAAGTAATTTTGTAGGTTTAAACGCCACATAAATTTTAGACAGCCTTAGTAAGAACACTACGTGATATAGCTAAGGTGCCTTCATTGTATGATTGTACTGTAGAGGTTTTGGATTCTTTCTTAATAGTGTTGTCACTATTACTGCTGTTATTACTATTAATACCGATGTTACAAATATTGATCATAATTTTCTTACGATTACTGAGGAACTTCTTGAATAATTTAGGAGGGCAATTATTGATAAGTAATGTGTTCTTAATGTGTCTGGTTCCTTCCCTTAGATTTCTCGTTTCACTAGTAAGTCTTTTGCGCCTGTTGCTTGGACATTTTATCAAGCCAACTATAACTGACATAGAGTGCGAGGATTTGAAGTCTAAGCAACGGTTTTAGTGTGTAGGTTTTATATAAACACTAGTGTCTATAGTCTCACTTATTTTACGCCTCGTTCTCCAATCCAACATCATATTGTAGGTAGTAGTTTTCTTTTGACCATAGAGTTCTCTGAAATGAAGATTTTGGTGACAAACGTCTTGGTATCTGGCTAGTCATCGAATCTTGACCAAATTATCTTATATAAAATAAGTACTGTTACATCATCATTAGTACTTATTGAATACTAGTCTACGTGATGGAAAAAGGCAGGAGATATCTTCTTCCTGATTTGGGACATTCGGTTACTTAACATTGAACATTAAACAGCTGTTTACTTGAATTAGTTGGTCTGTTTCCGTTGTTCGAATCATTCGCATAATTTCGTTTTTATCCCGAATAA